CATTTTCTATATATATGTGAATTCCATTCATAATTAAGGTATGATTTCTAACCCTATCCAAATTCCCCTTCCCGTCTCTTGCACTTATAGTTCCCTCGTCCGGCAGTTGACTTGACCGTCGGAGTGCAAACGGTCGTCGGACATTTTTCTTGGCTGGCGGCCATTTGCCTCCTAACGGGGTGTTCAGTGTGCAGGTGGTGTCCACGTGGAGGGGACGTGGCAGGGATTCTGTTCGACCATTTTTTGAGGTCAACAAAATGCTTACTCAGAGAACTTATTTACAGCCCACTCAGTCCATGAATCTTTCTTCTCGGCGGCATCCTGCATGGCCTCTGAAGCACTCCGCTTGGCGTCTTCCGCCCGGATCTTCATGTTATCGGCAGCCAAATTTGCTCCCTGTTTCGAATTCTCCACCGCGTCCTCACCCCAGCACCACCCCACGGATGCCGCCGCCGCAAGACATACCAAAAACAACGCGGTTCTCTTGCCCATCATGTATATATTTGCAGATATGTATTTCTACACCTTTTTATTTTGTATTTGTAACGATTCAAATCTTGAGTGTAGATATTCAATTTACAAAAATGAAACTTGGAGAAATTTGGTTTGTGAGTGTAAAAGGAAAGACGTGGATAGGAGATGGTTGGTTGAATGGGGATGGTGAAACGTGTCAGTTGCTTATGAGTGCATGGAACGACTTTTTCTGCCCTTTCGCCACCTATTGTATGGCAAATAAAATGAAATTTTGAGTCAAGTGAGTTTTGCCAGATTTGCTGCTCTTCGCCAATTGCATCGAGTTTACTATAAAGCAAAAATGACACCCACCGTTCAATGATTTGCTAATGTAGTGATTTGCTGCTCTATTACAAAGCAAGCACTAAGCTATATAATCTATAGATATTTCAATTATTAACGAAACTTGAGTTTTGCCGATCCATAGATTGGTCTATAAGAGTTCAATATTGGTCAATAGAATCAATTCTTGACTAGAAAATGTTGGTTGGCAGCTGGTTGCCAAAAATCAGTCAGCAAATGTTTTCACCGACCAAAATACACATTAGTCGGGAAATATAGAAATTTTTACTTACAAACGATATGTGGTTGAAAATGGTAAGAGTTTTTCCCTGACCATTTTCCAGGTCGGTAAAAGTCTAAACAAAGTCGGCAATAATATTCATCAAAAAGTCATACGTAAGCTAACCATAGTCATCGAGAAAAATATACATTTGTCCAGAAAATTATTCAAGTCTAACGGTGATAAACATTGATTGACCATGTTATATTGGTCGAGGCAAATTCCTTTGCCGGCCAAGGGAATTTAAATTGTAGTAGGTAAATGTGATTGTATTAAAAAAGAATTGAAATGTACAATAATAAAAATGCCAAACGATTGAAAGCCTAACTCAAGCACAATGCACCAACGAGAATTCAAAATCAAGAAATATATGAAATCACACAAAAAAGTCACAGTCAAGAGCCTCTAGCAGAGTACATGCAAGGCAAAATAATATATTGTCTCTTTAAAAGTCAATTCTACTTTCAAAATGTGAATAACTACATACACAAATGTAGTCCACAATAGTAGCATAGGCAGCCAAAAAACCTATTCGCGTTCCAAAATATTAGAAGATTGTGCAGTCCAAAACTATGGTATAAGCAATAATAGAGTATCAACCATAAAAACATAAAAAAATGTAAATGCAATAGGAGAACTCTAAACTAATGATCATCATATGATTCTTGATTAAATGATGATGATGGATGCGCATTCGGCACTCTAGAGCTGCTTATTCTGACCTTGCAAGTTATTCACGAATTGACAAAATTTGGCATTCTCTCATTATGTAATTTATTCTTAAACTTTCGTTTTCCTCCTTTTTAGTCCTTTTTCACTTGTTTCTCCTTATTTCCGCTACATTCATCACTTTGTCCTACAAAANAAAACTCTTGAATCTTCATCACAAGGTTGGAAACAAGTTTGTAGTATTTGCACCTTAGTCCCTGAACTTTCACTTTCTTCCAGTTTGGTCCTTTTTCGCTTGGTTCACCTCAATTTCGCTACATTCATCACTTTGTCCTACAAAACATAAATTGTATAGAATTAAACTATATTCCAACATATTAATCAACAATTTTTCATGTTTTGATAGTAAAATAAGTATGTAAAAACGTACTTATCAGTCCCATCATAAGATAAAAAGTCAAAGAATTCGGCTGGCCATGTCGTGCAACGGACTGAAATTTGCTGATAATTACTCCCAGACAGGCCCTAAACCTACATCTCATCATTTCTCTTTCCTTATCACATATACTACATCTCCCCATTTCTCTCTCCTTATCACAAAAACAACCTCAAAATATTTGGCTTTGATGACAACTTGATTTGCTTTGTCGTGATATCTTGGGTTGGTGGTTGGTGGATTTTGGTGTGGTTTTTGTTGGTGGTAGTTGTGGAATGGTGGTACCGATGGTGATGGTGTCTAATATTAGCTCACATATATAGTTTATTTTAGATTACAATCCCTACCATTAGGGCTTGATTGTATTTTGTCTGTAGTAAACCTACTCGATTCACCCCTATTTGTGATTATTCAATTGCTTTCCCTTCAATTTTGTATCATGAGCAGTGAAATACCCCTTATCTCAAGAACTATACAAATTTTTATGTACCATTTTTTGTTTCAGTAATAAATCAATCATATTTATCTCCTCTCTTTCTATCTCTTCACCTTGTTTGTTTTTACCATCCCAATTTTCTTTGAGTATGCTTGGTCAAGATTTGTAAAGTTTATAAGTTGGTCAAATATCATTTATAATGGTAGTGCAGTGTTGGTGGAGGTGCGATGGTGGTGGTACCGATGGTGGTGAACATTTATTTGTTAGCTGTGATCCTCTATGACTAAGTCTGTTTTAATTGTGATCGGTTGTGACAAAAAAGTCTATCTTCATTGTAACTGCCAGTGACCAGATCTATCTTAACTGTGGTTGTTTGAGATCAAATTAACACTGACTTGATTACATAGAGTCACAAATTAGATCGACCAGATCACAGATAGTCATATTGAAGACAAATTTGATCACAATTAGTCACAGATAACACATGCCGGTGACTTGATTACATACGTTCATAAATTAGACAAACCTAGTCACGGACAGTCATACTGAGACAAATTTGGTCACAGTTAGTCACAGATAACACATGTTAATTACTTGATTACATACTTTTACAAATTAGGCTGACCTGATTAGATACAATCATATTGAATCTGATCATCGATAACATAATTAGTCACAAATTTGGTCACCTACAATGCACCACTACTGCCACCACACAGTACTCAAAATGTTGCTACCACCTCACCACCACTACTACCACACAAATTAATTCCAATGTAGTATTATCACCATCATCGCCAACACACGATCTATTCCTAAACACAATTTTCATCATTACCACTACCACCACCAACTCCTAATTATTTGAAATTCGGTAGCTTTTCTTACTCCACCAAACGCCCTCTCTATATGTTTCAACCATGAATAAAATCCCTAATTTCTGTCTTTTATTATTCTCTCAATTTTGATTCTCAAATGAAAGATCATTCAAAGAAATTCCCAAAACATCCCAATTATCAATCTTTTACAGATATCAAGCCACCATTGTAACCATTGTATCGTTCGACTAAAAGGCTCAAGATCTTTGATTTGCCGTGATTAAGGCTCAGTAAGATGTATAAAAAATCCGGAGACACAGCCTACCTCTAAAAAAAATCATAAAACCATTGTTGTAGTTGATTTTCCATTTCAAGAATCAGACTAGTTATGGCATCTCCAAGTCGCCGTTCAAATTTTTACCCCAACAAGGACAAGCAAAATGGGGAAATTGATTTTCAATTGTATTCCAATACTCATTTTCATTTAAATAAACATGCATTTAGTCTCTAATAATTGTTTCAATTCAATGTCTCAGCCATGATTGATATTATTTTGTTTACCGAATACATCATAAATAGGAAAACTGATATGATGCCCCAGACATTCGACCCATTCAAGTCCAGATCCCAGCTGGCATGTCAGCTATTCAAATATGGATGCAGATTTCTATCTAGTGCCTCATAGCATACGTCAAGACAGGAAGTTAAAGAGAGGGTGATACCAGAGTCATTATTGATTAGTTTTTTTACTGTCCTTTGTAGATATTTGTTTTCAACAGTTAGGTGATTGGGCAAACTAAGTCCATATCTTCGTTGTCTTTTACGTTACAACTTGTTTTGACAATATGCTATCATTAATTATTGTAGTGGAATCGCAGTATCATGGTTTTGTCGAGTAAAAAGTTTCATTACTCACTGAAATTTGCATACTATCATGTTATGGTCACTGAACTTTTATGTGCATATGACTAGCCATTGAACTTACACGAAAGTGGCTCTATCCTCACTCCACAAACATTTGTTTGAAGGGCCTCTAAAGTGGCATAACGGCAGCTCTAGTGGCAACAGAAGGTATCTTCTCTTGCCATGTGAAGAAGCGTCGTCCAGTGAAATGAAATTTCATCTAAGTAAAATGAAAATAACAAATTGAATTGAAAAAGCCCAAATTTCCAATGCCCAAATTGTAAACCCTAATCGCCTAACCCCCTGCGATTGTAAAAATTGACTCTACCCAAATTGATCCCCTACCTTTGCAGAACCCTAGAAATCGAATTGCACAAACCCAAATTCGATCTGGGAAGGAGGAAATTTCCCAAACCCAACCAATTCTGCCTATGGTGAAGGTAATTCCAAGGTTATAGGGATGTGAAATGTTCTCTTCATTTTGCATTTATTTGTTTGAATAAGGTTGAAGGAAATACTAAAGGATTTAACTGTTCAGCAATGTTTAGACTACAGTTAATACTATATCTTCCACCTGAATTTGAAATAGTAACATTTCTCTGTCCTATTTCGTTGGTACAAGATGACTGATTTTAGAAGTTATTTGGCTACACATAATTAATGATTTGTGCATGTATTTTGGTACATGAAAAGACTTTTTCCATGTTAGGTTTTGGATTATTTCAGTAAAAATCATAAACTTAATCTCTTTCTCTCTGTCATGTAAAGGATATGCACTGCTGATTGTTTTCTGTCCAAAATGTGGCAAGTATGGAAATTGAAGATTGGGACTTTATTTGCTAAAATATTAACTTATTTGTAGTTTGATTATTGCAGCGGACACCTATCCCACATTTGAAGCGTTACGGTAAGGAAGAACATGGACATATGTCACAGTTCTAGGAAGCCTGTGCACTACTTTTCGGACTGTCCAACAAAGAAACGATGCCCAAAATGTGGCCAGGGATTTGAAAAATGTATGGAGGTGGAGAAATTCAAACATTGGGAACTTGTTCATATGTTGTACTAGGGATTGTGATCACTTCGAGTGGAAGAATGAAGAACAGTCTATTACAAAATCGAGTTATGTTTTTTCGGGTAATTGTAAAGCTAAAT